CTTCCCAATGACCACAAGTGTGAGGAGCATTCTTCTCAATGACCACAAGTGTGAGGAGCATTCTTCGCAATGACCACAAGTGTGAGGAGCATTCTTCCCAATGACCACAAGTGTGAGGAGCATTCTTCCCAATGACCACAAGTGTGAGGAGCATTCTTTTCAATGACCACAAGTGTGAGGAGCATTCTTCCCAATGACCACAAGTGTGAGGAGCATTTTTTCCAATGACCACAAGTGTGAGGAACATTCTTCCCAATGACCACAAGTGTAAGGAGCATTCTTTTCAATGACCACAAGTGTGAGGAACATTCTTCCCAATGACCACAAGTGTGAGGAGCATTCTTTTCAATGACCACAAGTGTGAGGAGCATTCTTCCCAATGACCACAAGTGTGAGGAGCATTTTTTCCAATGACCACAAGTGTGAGGAGCATTCTTCTCAATGACCACAAGTGTGAGGAGCATTCTTCTCAATGACCACAAGTGTGAGGAGCATTTTTCCCAATGACCACAAGTGTGAGGAGCATTCTTGCCAATGACCACAAGTGTGAGGAGCATTTTTCCCAATGACCACAAGTGTGAGGAGCAATCTTCCCAATGACCACAAGTGTGAGGAGCATTCTTTTCAATGACCACAAGTGCGAGGAGCATTCTTCCCAATGACCACAAGTGTGAGGAGCATTTTTCCAATGACCACAAGTGTGAGGAGCATTCTTCTCAATGACCACAAGTGTGAGGAGCATTTTTCCCAATGACCACAAGTGTGAGGAGCAATCTTCCCAATTACAAGTGTGAGGCGCATTCGCCCCACTAAAGTTCACACTAAGGCCCCATGTACACGGGACACTTCTGAATGATGGAAACTCACTGCTGGAAAACGTAGGTAAAAAAGTCTGTTTAGCTGTGTTTGCATTGCGCGTTTATGTGCGTTTGAGTTTAGAAGTGTTTTTTAAACATAAGCACAGGAGAACCTCCCAAATGCCCAGACTGCACTGACAAGTGGTAAATTATTAACTATTTCAGACTGTTTCAGAGAAATACAGAGAGTAGAAGCAGAGACAGTAGTATGTGTTGAGACAATTAGGTGTGAGTTGCTCATTAACATTTCTTTTGTTTCCAAGGGTGGGAAAGGTGTCTGGTGGAGGGAGTCATTAAGGCCACCTGGCAGGGGGTTTTCATGATGAATTTGAGGTGTGAATGGTCATTAACATATCTTTTGTTTTCCAAGGGTGGGGGAGGTCTGAGGTGTGAATTGGTCATTAACATATAATTTTGTTTTCCAAGGGTGGGGGAGGTCTGAGGTGTGAATGGTCATTAACATATCTTTTGTTTCCAAGGGTGGGAGAGGTCTGAGGTGTGAATTGGTCATTAACATATCATTTTGTTTTCCAAGGGTGGGGGAGGTCTGAGGTGTGAATTGGTCATTATAATGTGTGACAAGCTTGGTGGGAACATCCTGTGTTCAGTGTTTTGTCCATCTGAGCACCTTGAAAATGTTATGCATGCATTTTTCTTGATGAAAAAAGGATCTGGACAGCATGGGGAGCTGGAAAAGTAAAAAAAAAATTCAAAGCAAATGCTTATAAACATGATTTTTCACGTTTAGCCGCCTTTAGCCGCGTTTACAAGTGTTTTGCGTTTGAAACGCTGATAAAAATCGATTGCTGAGTGCACGTTTTGTGCGTTCAAAAAACTTGGAAACGCAAATGCCTATAACTGTAAACTCAAATGCCTGTAAACGACTGTAAACGAAGATGTGTACATGGACACATAGGAAAACATTAGGGAGAGTTCAGGGGCTGCTGGAAAAAATGCAGAACAGCTCCTAAACGTGAGTTTATCAGCTGCAGTGTACATGAGCCCTAATGTATAATGAGTTGTAGATATATATATATATATATATATATGGAAGGCGTTTTTAAAGAACTTGATTTGTCTTCAGTTTATAAGCAGAGGACAGGTTCTCTTTATTGAATTAATGGCAGAAGTGGTGGCCAATTCAATTTCCACCCCCACCCAGATTCCTTTGCTTTCACTCTGCGGTGTAGCCCGGAGCCCATTGAGGAGGGGGCAGGCATGCCGATCTTTCTTTTCTTTTTTTTTTGCGCTGTATTGCTAAGTGATAATCAGAAATGTTCATTTTATTGCAATGTTCTGCACTTGATACGTACGAGAGGCAGTTCTGCTTATTGTTCATTATCATCCCCTCTGCTGAAAAATTTTAAAAAAAAAATGATTCTGATGGCGTGTGCGTGAGCGGGGACCTCTGCGAGGAGGTGGCAGAAGGTAGGCCAGACAGACGTAGTAGGATTTACATTAAAAACTACTTTGTGCTCATAAAAGCGATGTTCTAATGCACTGCAGGCAGGAATCGCGGCGGTGGGGAGAAGGCATCATTTTTCAATCACATAAATTTTATTTGCTTGCGCTGTAATTCAGCCGGCGTAATGTCGTCATTACTGAGTATACAAACAATTTTCTCCTCTCTGAACACTGAGGCTGCGGAGAACCATCGCGGCAAGACACATTATTTATTACAGCCATTTATATAGCACCTTTACTGTACATTCGCATTAGTCCCCGCCCTAAAGGAGCTTACAATCGAAGGTCCTTAACTCGCTTACACACGCAAGCTAGCGCCAATTTAGACAGACTCCAGTTCACCTACCACCATGTCTTTGGAGGGTGGGGGGAAACTAGAGTACCTTCATACAAGCACTTGCAAACTCGAAAGTGCTTTGGGTGTATGTAAATATAAATGATCCGAGGAAGGGGCTCTTGACCTCCGAAACGCGTAGCCACAGATAGTGCTTTGGGTGGGGTTTTTAACCTAGGATCACAGGGCTTCAAGCTGCCATGCTGCCCACACTAAGCCTAAAAGCATAATGTATATATAATATAAATGATCCGAGGAAGGAGCTCAAGAGCTCCGAAACGCGTAGCCACAGATAGTGCTGTGGCCGGGGTTTTTTAACCGAGGATCACAGGGCTTCAAGCTGCCATGCTGCCCACACTAAGCCTAAAACCATAATGTGTGTAAATATAAATGATCCAAGGAGGGAGCTTAAGAGCTCCAAAACACGTAGCCACAGATAGTGCTTTGGGTGGGGTTTTTAACCGAGGATCACAGGGCTTCAAGCTGCCATGCTGCCCACACTAAGCCAAAAAGCATAATGTATGTAAATATAAATGATCCGAGGAAGGAGCTCAAGAGCTCCGAAACGCGTAGCCACAGATAGTGCTGTGGCCGGGGTTTTTAACCTAGGATCACAGGGCTTCAAGCTGCCATGCTGCCCACACTAAGCCAAAAAGCATAATGTATGTAAATATAAATGATCCAAGGAAGGAGCTCAAGAGCTCTGAAATGCGTAGCCACAGATAGTGCTTTGGGTGGGGTTTTTAACCTAGGATCACAGAGCTTCAAGCTGCCATGCTGCCCACACTAAGCCTAAAACCATAATGTGTGTAAATATAAATGATCCAAGGAGGGAGCTTAAGAGCTCCAAAACACGTAGCCACAGATAGTGCTTTGGGTGGGGTTTTTAACCGAGGATCACAGGACTTCAAGCTGCCATGCTGCCCACACTAAGCCTAAAAGCATAATGTATATATAATATAATATAAATGATCTGAGGAAGGAGCTTGAGACCTCCGAAATGCGTAGCCACACCCCCCATGCACGGTTGCCTTCTTATCAAAAAAAAAAAAAAAAAAAAAAAAAAAAAAAAACAAAAAAAAAAAAAAAAAAAAAAAAAAAAAAAAAAAAAAAAAAAAAAAAAAAAAACGACAAAAAAAAAAATAAAAAAAAAAAAAAAAAAAAAAAAAAAAAAAAAAAAAAAAAAAAAAAAATAAAAAAAAAAAAAAAAAAAAAAAACCGAGCGCATATTAATTACACAGGTTATTTGGCTGATTAAGGTGGTAATTAAACTCATTTAGCGTCTTATCTGCATTTAATTAGCTTCAGAACCCCGCGTGGCCGATCCTCCCAGACAGGTGTGATGTCACTTCCACGATGGCACCCCAGGTGCATTCCAGGGGGATTTTTGGGACTTCCTAGATTGACTTGTGAACGCCATTTTCTCTGTCGGCGACTGCAGGAGCACCCTGCCCACATGGAAGAAAAATATATTTTAAATATATTTTTAAAATATTCTTCTCAAATATATTGACATATATTTAAAATACTACAATTTTGGCCGTATTCAATATATTTCATAAATTTTTTTTTTTAAAATAAATAAATAAAACACACACACAGATAGATAGATAGATCTGTAAATGCATTCAAAAAATGTAGATTAAATGTATTTTTAAAGACATACAGTATATTTGAAAATGTATTTTTTAAAAATATTTTTTCATATATTTTGTAATATATAAAAAATGCATTTCAACATACAGTGTATATATATATATATTTTTTTTTTTAGTAAAACAAAAAAAATCACCCCCACAAGTAGCAGTGTCACAATGGTGACACTGTACTGCTAGGGTGACGGTATGTTAAAAAAAACAAAAAAAAAAACAAATAATAATATAAAAAAATAAAATAAAAATGTAAAAAAAAAATTGAAAAATTATAATTTTTGGTTAAAAAACTAATTTGGGCTATTATTTATATGTTATAAGAAAAACACTTTTTTAAAAACATTTTTGGACTTTTTCATTTATAAACCGCAAAAAAAAAAAAATCCCAGCGGTGAATAAATACCACTAAAATAAAGCTTTATCTGTCTCAAAAAAATGCTAAAAAATGCATATGGGTGCAGTGTTGCATGACCGCGCAATTGTCATTCAAAGTGTGATAGCGCTGAAAGCTGAAAATTGGCCTGGACTGGAAGGGGGTGAAAGTGTCCGGACTGGAAGGGGGGGGGGGGGAGTGTCCGGACTGGAAGGGGGTGAAAGTGTCCAGACTGGAAGAGGGGGAAAGTGTCTGGACTGGAAGGGGATGAAAGTGTCTGGACTGGAAGGGGTGAAAGTGTCCGGACAGGAAGGGGGTGAAAGTGTCCAGACTGGAAGAGGGGGGGAAAGTGTCCGGACTGGAAGGGGGTGAAAGTGTCTGGACTGGAAGGGGGTGAAAGTGTCTGGACTGGAAGGGGTGTGAAAGTGTCTGGACTGGAAGGGGGTGAAAGTGTCCGGACTGGAAGGGGTTAAAAAAGCTTCAGGCTTCAGAATCACTGTAAGTTACTAAGCATGTCTAATGTAGGCCATACACGGTTTGTTTATCGGCCGATTTTTCATCCAAAAAACAAAACATCAGCCGTTCTGTTGCCACCAATAATTGCAAAAATCGTCCGTTTTTCACACATTTTTACAGCATGACCGATAAAAGAAATGAGGAACCGCGAAAATTGTCCAATAAACGAACCGTCTATGGCCTGCATAAAGCTCAATCTCTAATCTTCCTTCAAGCCAGTGAGCCTTGGATTTAAAGCTGAAAATTGGCCAGGACTGGAAGGGGTGAAAGTGTCCGGACTGGAAGGGGTGAAAGTGTCCGGACTGGAAGGGGTGAAAGTGTCCGGACTGGAAGAGGGGGAAAGTGTCCGGACAGGAAGGGGGTGAAAGTGTCCGGACTGGAAGGGGGTGAAAGTGTCCGGACTGGAAGGGGGGGTGAAAGTGTCCGGACAGGAAGGGGGGGAAAGTGTCCGGACTGGAAGGGGGGGAAAGTGTCCGGACTGGAAGGGGTGAAAGTGTCCGGACTGGAAGGGGGTGAAAGTGTCCGGACTGGAAGAGGGTGAAAGTGTCTGGACTGGAAGGGGGGGGGAAGTGTCCGGACTGGAAGAGGGGGAAAGTGTCTGGACTGGAAGGGGGTGAAAGTGTCTGGACTGGAAGGGGGTGAAAGTGTCCGGACAGGAAGGGGTGAAAGTGTCCGGACAGGAAGCGGGTGAAAGTGTCCGGACTGGAAGGGGGGGAAAGTGTCCGTACTGGAAGGGGGGGAAAGTGTCCGGACTGGAAGGGGGTGAAAGTGTCCGGACTGGAAGGGGGTGAAAGTGTCCCGGACAGGAAGGGGGTGAAAGTGTCCGGACAGGAAGGGGGTGAAAGTGTCCGGACTGGAAGGGGGTGAAAGTGTCCGGACTGGAAGGGGGTGAAAGTGTCCGGACAGGAAGGGGGGGAAAGTGTCCGGACGGGAAGGGGGTGAAAGTGTCCGGACTGGAAGTGGGTGGAAGTGTCCGGACTGGAAGGGGGTGAAAGTGTCCGGACTGGAAGGGGGTGAAAGTGTCCGGACTGGAAGGGGGTGGAAGTGTCCGGACTGGAAGGGGGGTGAAAATGTCCAGACTGGAAGGGGGTGAAAGTGTCCGGACTGGAAGGGGGGTGAAAGTGTCCGGACTGGAAGGGGGTGAAAGTGTCCGGACTGGAAGGGAGGGAAAGTGTTCGGACTGGAAGGGGGTGAAAATGTCCAGACTGGAAGGGGGTGAAAGTGTCCGGACTGGAAGGGGGTGAAAGTGTCCGGACTGGAAGGGGGTGAAAGTGTCCGGACTGGAAGGGGGTGAAAGTGTCCGGACTGGAAGGGAGGGAAAGTGTTCGGACTGGAAGGGGGTAAAAGTGTCCGGACTGGAAGGGGGTGAAAGTGTCCGGACTGGAAGGGGGTAAAAGTGTCTTGACTGGAAGTGGGTGAAAGTGTCCAGACTGGAAGGGGGTGAAAGTGTCCGGACTGGAAGTGGGTGAAAGTGTAAAGACTGGAAGGGGGTGGAAGTGTCCGGACTGGATGGGGGTGGAAGTGTCCAGATTTGAAGTGGTTAAAGTAAATTCTGGGAAGTTGGGGGTGAAGTTCCTCTAAGCGTCTGAGCACCACAAACCAATCACTTTGAATAGCACCCCTAGCATTTCTGGTTGTGGCCATCTTGAGGAAGGGCAAATGATTCATGCAGCATTTACTTCCTGCAATCCATCTGCCCTTAGCCCTGTCATTCAGGAAGGTGTGCTTAGCTGAGAAAGTCCTTCTTCCCCTCTTGAAGACCCCTGAGATGTGTGACTTTTTTTGGCAAGAAAACAGGAAACAACTGAAGTAAAAAAAAAAAAAAAAAGTTTGGAACAATTAAAGGAGATGCCTTCCTATCTATTTACTATTGATCTCTTCTGCACTTACCTTGTCCTGCGCTCCCGCGATGTCCCCCCTGCAGTGTCCCCAGCAATGTCCTCCGGTGGATGCCGGCATCTGTCTTCTGTGTTCCGTCCCCTGTGAGCGTCGGGACGTACAGGGGACGGAACTGGCGGGAAATTCAAAAATGTGAAAAAGTGACATTCACTAAAATCACATAGTATTCCATTCCTGTATCAAAATATTTCACATACATTGTGTCCCGAGTGCTTTGTCCGGCGCCCTGCCTGCATTTTGACTGTTCTTTCTGCCTGGAAACTGAGAAAACGTCCATGGCGTCCAAAAAGCGTCCCTTTAGGTCAGACGCGGTTTTAGACCGGCTAGAGAACAGCGATAGTAAATCAGAACCACTTGCAGAATTGAGTGATAATGATTGGTGGGGGAAATTCCTCATCAGACACTGAAAACGATTCTGCGACTGAGCTCAGCGATGTGCAAACTTGGCGCTATATTTCACATTTCAGTGTTTTTGGTTTGATTATATTATTGAATTAAATTTATTATTATTATATTATTATTTTTTATGATTATTTACTAAATTATAATTTATGATTTCGTGTTTCAAGTTTTATCATCCCCGGGATGTTTACTAGACTCTTGGTCGGACAGATTTCAGTGAGTTATTCCTAAGAATGACAGGCCGACAATAAAAAAAACAACATATTTCCATGCAAAAAAATGTACCGCTTTGAGCACCGAAATAATGACATAATCAGACTGCTAGGGAGGTTAAGGTCTTTGGGTTGCTTTTTAGCGCACATGCTGCTGACCCTATTGGAATCCCGAGCGCTCGCTGTTTTTCTCATCATGTAGTAAAAGCATAGCGTTTTATTTATTTTTAAAAATGGCAGTTGTTTATGATACCGCAGTACTTTAGCAAACAAAATGCCACTTAGTGAAAATCGGCGTCCACTTTAAAGAGTTTGTCCGCTATTTGCAAATGGCGGGTTTCCCGCCTTGTTAAATTCTGTTATTCTGTAAACAGCCAAGGGCCCCGAATGTGTGAAAACTCCTCTATGTGTTTTTTTTTTTTTTTTGGGAGGGGAACATTATCAAGTGCCATTTGAGCCAGAATAGTCAGGCATTAGGGCTCTGGATGGGATAAATAATTCATATTAATTAGAAATCTACCAAATTATATCCCGGCAACTTTGCAGAGCTGAGAGGCGAATGAAAAGATCAATTAATTTTGGTTTGATAACATTATTGAATTACATTTATTATTATTATTATTATATTATTATTTTTTATGATTATTTATTATATTATAATTTATTATTTCGTGTTTCAAATTTTATCCTACCCGGGATGTTTACTAGACTCTTGTTTGGACAGATTTCAGTGAGTTATTCCAAAGAATGACAATAAAAAAACAACATATTTCTATGCAAAAAAAGTACCGCTTTGAGCACAGAAATACTGACATCATCAGACCGCTAGGGAGGTTAAGGTGTCAGTGAGTGGATAGACTTTTTCAAAAGAGAGATGTTCATCAAGTCAACTGGAGTTGAGCCGACAACATGCAGAGTCATTATTTTAATCCTGCCTCTGGATTGTGAGATCTGATTGAATTCATCCATACGCGTCTGGGATTTCCTAGAATTTACGCACTCTGCTATATGGAGGAACAATTTGTTAAGTGCAGCGGTGACACAAAGAGAGCCCCTTCTGACCCCGGCTAAACTGCTTAATGGCTCCCTTCCTTGCAGACATCACGTTTCCTTCTCCCTTTAAAATTGTATCTTGGTTTTACTGCATATGAGATCAATTAATGAACAACAACACCGACATAAAACCCATTCTGCACTCAGCCGGCCTCCTTCCTCTCCAAGACAAACACGGAGTATAGATTTATATTGACTGTCACACAAAGAGCCATCCATCACCCCGGCTGGATTTTACAGCTACTTATGAAATAAAAGGAGGTGATAACTAAGAGTCCCCATCTGCAGCTCTATCCTCATAAAAGGCTCCAAGAGAGGCAATAACATGTCAACATACATAGGACGAATCTGATGAGGTCAAGAGGTGGGCGATCCCACGACCCAACAACCTGATTGCATAGATAATCAATGGCCACAATCAGGTTCAATGTCAATCACATTTACCTGTACAAGGTTGGGCAACCAAGATTTCGAAAAGGGTTTCAACAATATTGGTTCTTATTTGTAGATACATCCAAATTAAATGCCCCCCTTCCCCATATGGTTCTTATTTGTGGAATCATCCAAATTAAATGGCCCCCTTTCCCATATGGTTCTTATTTGTAGAATCATCCAAATTAAATGGCCCCCTTCCCCATTTCATTTTTATTTGTAGAATCATCCAAATTAAATGGCCCCCTTCCCCATATGGTTCTTATTTGTAGAATCATCCAAATTAAATGGCCCCCTTCCCCATAGTGGCCTTTGTTTATCAGTCAATAATATACATGAACTTGGTAAGCCAAGCGTTTAAAATAAGCTACACCATCGATCTCATCTAAAAATATCAACCAAACCGTCCCCTCTGTCCCTCTCAAGACCTAATGTTCTTTAGCTCCCTCATCTCCTCCTCCCATGACCACCTCCAGGCATTCTCCAGAGCCGCTCCCATCTTCTGGAAAACATAACAAATCTGATGAGGTCAAAGGTGGGTGATCCCACAACCTGATTGCACAATCAATAGCCACAATCAAGTTCAATGTTAATTACATTTACCTTTACGAGGTTGGGCAACTAAGATCTTAAAGGGTTTCCCAACAACCTGATTGCGTAGATAATCAATATCCACAATCAGGTTCAATGTCAGTCACATGTACCTGTACAAGGTTGGGCAACCAAGATCTCAGAGAGTTTCCCAACAACCTGATTGCATAGATAATCAATAGCCACAATCAGGTTCAATGTTAATTACATTTACCTGTACGAGGTTGGGCAACCAAGATTTCAACAATATTGGTTCTTATTTGTAGAATTATCCAAATTAAATGGCCCCCTTCCCCATAGTGACCTTTGTTTAGCAGTCAATAGTATACATGACCTTGGTAAGCCAAGCGTTAAAATAAGCTACACCATTGATCTCATCTAAAAATATCAAACAAACCGTCCCCACTGTCCCTCTTAAGACCTAATGTTCTTTAGCTCCCTCATCTTTTCCTCCCATGACCACCTCCAGGCCTTCTCCAGAGCTGCTCCCATCTTCTGGAACACAGAACAAATCTGATGAGGTCAAAGGTGGGTGATCCCACAACCTGATTGCACAATCAATATTACATTTACCTTTACGAGGTTGGGCAACTAAGACCTCAGAGGTCAAGAGGTGGGCAATCCCACAACCCGACAACCTGATTACCTTGGTAAGCCAAGCATTAAAATAAGCTACACCATTAATCTCATCTAAAAATATCAACCAAACCATCCCCTCTGTTGCTTTAGAACTCTTAGATTGGCATTGCATGCTATTATTAAGCTTGTGATCTACCAGAACCCCCAGATCCTTCTCCACCATTGATTCCCCCAGATTCTTCTCCACCAATGACCCCCCCAGATCCTTCTCCATCATTGACCCCCCCCCCAGATCCTTCTCCACCATTGATTCCCCCAGATCCTTCTCCACCATTGATTCCCCCAGATCCTTCTCCACCATTTACCTCCCAGATCCTTCTCCACCATTTACCCCCCCCCAGATCCTTCTCCACCATTGACCCCCCCCCAGATCCTTCTCCACCATTGATTCCCCCAGTTGCACCCCCCCTAGTATGTATGATGCATGCATATTCTTAGCCCCCAAGTGCAGAACCTTACATTTATCACCATTAAACCTCATTGGCCCCATAGTCTCCCAATTACACAGAGCATTGAGGTCGGCTTGTAAGTTGGAGACATCCTGTAAGGACGTTATTCCATGGCACAGCTTGGTGTCATCTGCAAAGACTGAAATCCCTAAACCTATATAGTTTATAAATATATTAAAAAGTAAGGGCCCCAACACCAAACCTTGGGGTACACCACTAAGAACACTG